ATAAAACTTAGCCAACTCAGCAAACTTTGCAACATATTCAACAACCGACATACTACGTTGCTTCAGCTCAAGAAACTCAATTTCCTTCTTACCACGAACGTCTTCAGGGAAATACTTCCTCAGAAATTCCCTACGAAACACATCCTAAGTGACATTTTCACCCGCAACCTCCAATTTCTGACAAGTCTCTAGCCACCAGTCATCAGCCTCGACTGCTAACATATGAGTACCATATCTAACCTTCTGCATTGGAGTGCAGTCCATCACACGAAAGATTATCTCAATCCCTTTCAACCAATCTAATGCTCCATCAAGATCATACTTACCCTTGAAGGTAGGAAGATTCTCCCTTTGGAAGATCACCAAACTATGAGATCCAGCATTCCTGTCAGCATTCAGATGATTCTCCACAGCATGCGGCATTGCTTCTAAAGCAGCAGTAAGTGCAACATCATTCCTTCGAGCCATCACAACTTATCACTATAACATAAACAACGGTTAGAACTCAAGTTAACAATACTAGATTGTTAGACAAAACTATGACTCGATAACTTGGTCGGATGAACCGACTTGCTCTAATACCAACTTGTAACACCCCAATTCTACCCGATAATTATATAAGATCAGAGTTACAAAATTTTGACAACCAAATCAGGATGCTACAATTTCAACTTAAAACAACAACATTCATTAAAGATACATAACACATTAAACTTGAATGAACTAACACTAACATAAATTAATCTTTTAAAACCAACAACTTTCATAACTACGCAGTAGAATCATAATATTTGACTTACAAGAATGTAACGTCTTTATCCAACTAAAACATCTCCAAATAACAAGTACTTAGAAAAAACCAAATTAAAATACAACAACTGGATTAATAATAACGATAAGACATCAAGCATTCATCCCCCGAGTGTTATGTATCAGAGCAATGACACCAACTCGAACTACTGAAGGTAAACCGCCTTCACTCTAGATTACCTGAATGTTACCAACATATGGGTAACACTCAAACATAAGGGATGAGATATCGAACATTATAATAGAACGCATGATAAATAATATATTAGAATTAGATCATACAAAATCACTGCTTCATAGCTTTTAAACGACATCCATTACAACCAAGTCATCAACATAATATCACAACTAATTCATCATCACAACAACTCAAAATACAACATGAAATGCGATTTGTTACGACGCAAATGCATGTGGTACCAATGGAGGAAAACTCCCAACTTAGAAATCTGCCAATGATATCAACAAGGCATAAGCCTTCAACTTTATATTTGTCAATCTAGGCCAACTTAACGAGCATCATCTCCAACATGATATGCTATGTATGCATTAACAACATGAACGTAATAACAACAACAATAATAATTAGAGGTACCTTAAGCCTACAACTTAATATCTGCTAATAATTAGAGGTACCTTAACATAATTCATCAACCTACAATTTTTCTCAACCTAGAACAACTTATACAACACTGGTATCGACCAATCAACATGTACGTGAAATAGGGATAGAGAGACTATGTGCCCCTCGACATGCACAACAACCAAGACAGAATAACAACTAATTTGCGCTCCTCGACACATCCTGCAACTTCGTGCAGCTCGACAACAATATTGTGCTCCTCAGCACGCCTTGCAGCCTAATGCCGCTCAACATCCAACACATATATTCTCCGACACACCTCACGGCCTACATGCTGCTAGGCGCCTAACACTATCAGCATCCTCCTCGACCACTAATTCTGGTCAACAGCATGGAACAATACAACATCATAACGACCACGTCAATACCACCCATAATTTCCATTCAACCGCTTGGAATACCATAGCAACGAGCAACTATATTTCCTATCAATAGATTCATTAATTATACAAGACAATCATGCAGAAACCTTCCTAAAACGTCCACCATAACAATTTACTATTTTCCTACCAACCGCTTGCAAGATACAACAACTTAATGACCATATCAACGGGTAATAATCTACACTAACTTATTCATCGATTATACCGGGAAATTATACAGACAATTCAAAACCCCCACAATACGACTAACGTGAAACTTCCTATAACAAGTTTGTTAATCGTACAAGACAGTCGTATGATAACTACCTAAACGACCACAACATGAAGCAATGAGAAACTTTTAACAACAGATCCAGAACATCAACGTACAACATTCATAAATACGACAAATTCCCCCATAACGATCATCATCAATCCCATTATAAGGTAAGAACCCCACCCTTACTTGGATTGAAGGTCGCTCTACCAAACTCTCAGCCTACAGTCTTGCTTTGCTCTACTCGTCAACCATGCAACTTGCTCCTCTCTCCGTGCAGCTTTCACGGTCAGCGCACAAAACTCTTAATCTCCAACTAAATCAAATCCTCGTGTCAGCTTAACTTTATACCATTAATCCTATTGGGCTTAACTTTCACACCCCACTATACTATTTTCAACCAATAAAATAGGCCCAATGCGAATATTCTATTAATTCCAACATTATTATTATTATTAATCAACTGCATAATTAACTAATAATAATCTAGCAACTTATACCGACAATTCACAACATCTCACAACCTTTCAACAAATAATCCAAAAATAATTTAATTAAATAATTAATTAATAAACGGGTGTTACACTGAGGGAGTCGTCTTCGTCGCTTCTGTATGGGGAGTGGGAAGGGGATCAGTTGTAATGACGGTCGTAATGTTGGCCTTGGTCTCAGGGAGGATCCCTTGACTGGGGTTGTGTTTCTCCATTTACCGTGTTTCTTTTTTCAGGGGATCGTCTTTCCTCGCACGCGGGGTGAGGCGCATTTCCCAGTAGCTTCGGGAAGTGTTCTCTCCAATGTGGGGCGTCGCCCAGTCCATCGGGGGGAGTGGCTTCGTGATCTGTCTCGTCTGTGTCTCTGCGGGGGAGGATGAGGACGGTCTTTGTTCTGACGGGGAGGTGGAGTGTCAAGCCTTCTGGGGGCTCGGCGAGAATCCTCGAGCACCCTTAGTCGTTCACCTTGCGAGAAGATTAAGTAGTTTGTTTGGTTAATGGTTGCGAACAAAGCCCTAGTCGTGGCGTTCGCTCCCGTAGGGACGGGGACCTCCTGAAAAACGTTCGGCTCATAGTTCTGGGGTGGACGGGCATCCTCGCATGGCCGAGAGCGGGATGATGAAGAAGCGGTCATGCTGTCTCTATAGTTCTGAATAAGACCGACCATGTCAACATCGTTCCCATTGTTGTTGTTGTTACCCATGTTGTCGATGATGTTGTTGTTGGGGTCGGTGAGATGGGCGTTCAGGTTGTTATTGGCAGCTGGGTCGGCCATGACAATCACGGAGTTTGATGGTTTCTTTATTCTTAGGTAAATGAAAGACGGGGAAGCTTATTCTCCATAGTCGACGCCATTGATCGTACCTGACCAGAAGGGATTGTCAAAGCCCACAAGCTTCGTGTTGAACAACAATTGAAGGTGAAGTGAGGGGTACCTGCAAGACACTCCAATGCCAAAGTAAGGTTCAGAGCAGCGCGAGCAAGTATGAAAGTGAGTATGAAAGAATGAATATCTGACCATCTCAAGTGAGAGGGTGCTTATAACCCCCAGCGCTGGGTCAAGGTCTCCATTGTTGGGCTGGGCAAGTAGGCCCAAAATAGAGTCTGTCAGGTCCTACGTGCATAGTGGGGGCCAGCACGTGGTCCCCAACCTGAATGGACTCCCCCGAATTGTCAAGAGGATATGAATGCGGTCTTTTCGGGACAAAGAGAACTCTGTGATATTCGAGGGTGTTGAGAGTCAACCCTACGAGGAGGATGTTCGCGATGTCCTTCTGTTCATCGTGGGCCCTCCCCACCAGCTGTGAGGTCGTCTAGGAGGGCTTGTCTTGGTCGACAAGAAGAGTGGAGGATGCTCGCGATGTCCTCCTGACCGGCGACGAACCTCCTCGCAATTCCTGGATTTATCCCCGTATGACGAAGCCGCGTTTTCTCGAAGGGTGAGGTTGCTGCCCGATATAGTCGAGGGCAGGTTCAGTCAGCAGACCTCCTTGAGCAACATAATTTGTTTGGACCTCGTATGAAATTGGGCCAAGTGCAGGCCCGATCCAGAACACTATATATTTTAAAAATAAACCTCATAAAAAATAAATATAATATATATTTATACTCTAAAAAATATCTATACACAATTTATGTTACAAAAATATATTGTCCCCACAATTCAAAATATCTGACTCCGTCCATGTTTGTGATTTTTTGTTATGTTATTTCCATATTTTACCAAAACGAGAGCAGAAATACTTAATTGTCAAAAGTATGTGTATGTCAAAAATAAATTATGGTGGACAAAGATTTTAGTCAAATATTTCATAAAACTTTTTATTAAGTTAGGGAGTTAGAAATATATGGTGAAATGATAAGATAGAGTTTTGATGCGACTGATCAGATATTTGGGGCAACATCACATACATGCAAATTTAATACTTCAATGTTTAAATTAATAAAAGAATGAGAAGTAATATAAGTTATGAATTTTTGAAGTGAACATGAAACCTTAACTAGAATAATACCATAACAAACACATGATGCCAAACTTACAATAATGTCAAGCTTTGGTAACTTGTGGTACAAGGTAACTTTCTACTGCACATTTTTAAGCTTTCAGAAACCACCACACAGCTTTTACAATATTTTTCTTCTAACTTGTGTTACAGTATCTATTGTAATTTATACAAATATCCACAAGTATCCATATAATGTAGTAACAAGAATTACACAAATAAAAAAAGAAAACACTTTGTATGAAGAATCAAAAAATGATATGTTCTATATACTACTAAACATATGTCGTTGTCGTGCCGATAGATGCAACACAGAAGCTTCGAAATGCAACAACCGTCTAAAATAGCATTTGATTCCTTGTTCAATTGCACGGAAACATTGATATACCATAGGCTTTGGTGTTAATTTGTAAATTAGGATCGAGAATGTGAGTGATTATTACACATGCAGTCAGGGACAGGATACTTGGTAACATCCCTTCCACCCTTATTAGTCCTGTGCACTGGCTGGCCCAACGAGTCCCGGTGCAGTTCCTTGATTATCCTGTTGAACTCTTCTTCAGAGAGTGAAGAATTTAGAAAATAAGGAAGCATGTGTCTCTTGTTTGGAGTTATAAATTTCTTGTGTCCACTAAATGCCCTGTAACCCTGCAACAACATTAAGGCACGAATTTCAAACACGATATTGACACTGATACATAGACATCGGTGATGGTGTCGGAAACTGAGAGGAGTCGTAAGAAATGAAAACAAATAAGCATTGTGCAGTTCATATAATTTCAGAATCATATATACCTGAATTGCATGGCCCATATTTCCTCCATGAGATGGCATGAAAACATCACTCTTTTCAGAGACTATGTAATCTATGGCAGCCATTAGAGAAGCTTTCTTTACAAAAGGTTGTAATTCTGCTGGAAAAGCAAGATCTTCCTTATTGTAAAAGTTAGGGAACTCTTGGATTAATGGAAGCAAAGCTGCTCTTCCACCCAATGGTTTCCCTCCAGCCCAATAAATTTTTGCATCTTTTGGAGCTCCTAGAGCTTTTAGTAGCCTAGAAATGAAACCAAAATATCTATCATAAATGTATGTAGTCACATGCGTCTGTATCGTGTCAGTGTCCGGCATCAACAAGTGTCAGACATGTCTATGCACTTTATCGATAAATAGTAAGTAGATAGATAGAAAATATACCTTGTAACTTCCATGGCATTCAAAGGACAAAAGCCAGCCATTTTTCTTTGAAGGTAAGACATGTTTGATCTTGCAGTCAAGAGCTCTGGCCTTTGTATCCTCTCATTGTTAACAATCTCATCATACTCAGGACTTAGACCAGGGAGACAACCAGTCCTCACCCATACATCTTTCTCCATTCTTAAATGAAGAGCAAGGTAAGGTCCTTTGCTTTTCATTCTCTCTGCAATCTTGTTGCCAACTTTCTCAATCGGCTCCGCGAACCTTAATGCATTAAAAGCAACCTGAAAATTAGATGACACATATTGATCAAAATTCACGTGCGATTCCTTCGCGATAGATATCCATTTTCTTTTCGATTCTAAAACGATAGACTAAGAGAAGAAACATTGATATACCTTGCATCTAAGCTTCTGAAGATCAGAAGGAAGATCCTTCGATAGCCTTGAATCCAAGCCACGTAAAAGCAAAACGCCTTCTCTACTGAGCTGCATATAAATATAAACTGCAGGACTCAAAACTCGAAGAAGCTAAAGTCTATTAAGTTGTGTTTGGTTACACTCTACAGAAGGAAAAAATTGATTTTGACATGTTCAAATATTAGTATAATCGATTCAAACTTAAAGCTAGAATTTGAAGTGGCGCGAAGATTCCTTACTCGTCTGAGATATCTCGAACGAATCCAACTAGGAGTGGCATGAAATGGAGGCCTTCTTTCCATTAGCCTTGTCATCAGGTGTGTTGATGGCAATGCTGAAACCACTCTCACATCATTTCCTAGAACTTTTTTGAAGTGTTCTAGATCAAATATATCACCAAATTCACTGCAAATAAACAAACAAAAACCATTAAAAATTTGAATTCCTTGATAAGCCAAACTAATCTTCGTATGATTTGTTCAACCTATGAATCACGACTCAGACACCAAATATGACACTGACAACCACGACACAAACATCATATATGACACATAGAGTATGGAGAAGAAATAATATTGATAATTTGTACCTTTCATCACCCCAAATAACATTGACTTGCAAAATAGGAACAATCAAAGAAGCTCCAAGAATCCTAGCAATAACAACAGCATCAACAATCTGATTCCTCTGCTGATTCAATCCTCCCGAAACAACAACCATTAGATACTTTCTCCTCTCCTTCAAAATCCTTTCACTTTGTCTCCTATAATCACTGCTGAAACTCAAACATGGTTTATATCCCAAACCATTTGGTTTCTTCCAAAACTCACTCTTTTTCTCAATTCCACTAGACCCTTTTGCGCCAAGTTCAACATGAGAAACAAAAAACTCATCTTTATGATCATTTTTCAAACCCGTTCTCTCTTTCTTCAAGAGAACGCTGCTAATACCAAGTTTGGATTTTGAGTGATGATTTGAGACAGAGAGCTTCTGATGAGTAGTTGAACATGGTTTATGAGGAAATGGGGTGTCAGTTTTGAAGCCAAACTTGAACATACCAAGAAAAGCAACGAGAAAGAGAGTAAGAAACCACCAGAATGATGATTTTCTGGTGAAGAATATAGTAGTTGAAGACTTTTTAGGAGAATGAATGAGAGATTGAAGGGAAGAAGATGAAATGGAGTTTATCATTTGTGATGGAACATATATGTATGATAACTTCTTTGCATTGTTCTTGGATTTTGCCATTCAATATCAAAGAGAGAGATTCTGGTTTTTTTTTCTGTTGAAGTTCTTGACATGAACATAGAGAGATTCTTATGTGTTTGATGATTTTATAATAAAAGGGTCTCAAATATATATTTTATCTTTAATTTTAATAAAAAATAGATATATTTGTTGATGCATAAAGAAGAGATGAAAGGCAAAAAAGAATATATTAAATGATGACTACAAAAATAAGGAATAATAATTTACAATGAATTACATTAACCTACCTCACTAAGCTATTTATACGCAAAATAAAATCCTAAATATCCTCTAACAAAGATATAAAAAGATATAATAATATCTTCTAAAAGATATTCCTAAAGTATAGATTAATATCCAAAAGATATTCCTAAAATATAGATTAAATCTAACATCATCCCTTAATTTATATTTTATCCAAAACTGACAACATCAATTTCATCCCTCAAACAAAGAAATTGATCAGTCTTGATAGCCTTTGTTAGAACATCTGTCAGCTGCTTCTGGGTGCTACAGTGCACAACTTCTAATATTTTACTCTGAACTTGATTTCTCAGAAAATGATATTTGGTCTCAATATGCTTGCTTCTCCCATGCAGCACTGAGTTCTTGGCAAGATTGATTGCAGACTTGTTATCAATCATCAGCTTCAGAGGTTTGACTACTTCAATCTTCAGATCTTGCAAAAAATTCAGAATTCACACAGCTTGACATGCAGTCAGAGCACCTGCAATATATTCAACTTCACAGGTTGACAGCGCAACAACAAGTTGCTTCTTGGAACACCAAGAAATAAGACCTCCTAGAAATTTGAATAAGTATCCAGAAGTACTTCTTTTGTCCACTCTATCTCCGCACCAATCAGAGTCTGAACAACTCAGAAGTTCTGATTCGATCTTTCTTCCAGACGGAAATAATACTCCATACTTCAGAGTTTCCTTCACATACCTCAGAATCCTGACAGCAGCTTGGTAATGAGACCACTTTGGTTTACTCATAAATCTGCTAACCAACTGCATAGCAAATATCAGGTCTGGTATTATACAAATACCTTAGATAACCAACCAACTTTTTGAAGGTTGTAGCATCCACATCCTCTCCATCAAAATCAGAGTTCAACTTCTGATTCGTATCAGCAGGTGTGACAACAACTTAGCAATTCTCTAGCTCAAATCTCTCCAAAAGCTCAAGTTCATACTTCATCCGATGCAAAATGATTTATTTCTCAGAGTACATAAATTTCATCCCAATAAAGAAACTCATTTTCCCAAGATCTGTCATCTCAAACGCATTCATCAGAACTTTCTTGAACTCAGTTATCTCTTGTTCAGAACTTCCTGTGAGTAATATGTCATCAACATATAAATAGACCAAAATCATATTACCTTCTGAAGTGTGCTAAACATAAACACCATACTCTATCTCACACTTCTGAAACCCTTGTTCCTTGAAAAACGAATCAATCTTCAGATTCCAAACTCTGGGCGCTTGCTTCTATCCATACAAGGCTTTATGTAATTTGAACACCATCCCTTCCTGATTCTTTTTCTCAAATCCAGGAGGTTGCGATACATATACCTCTTCTTGTAATGGACCATTCAGAAATGCAGATTTTACATCTAAATGCATCAGAGGCTAATTCCTGTTAGCAGCTATTGCAATCACTAGTCTGATTGTTTCATGTCTCGCTACAAGTGCAAACACTTCAAAGTAATCCAACCCAGGCTTCTATAGAAAGCCTCTTGCTACTAATATTGTTTTGTGTTTTCCAATTGATCCATTATGGCTTTAGCTTCTGTTTGAAAACCCATCCGACGTTGATTTCTTTCTTGCCTTTTGGAAGTTTTGTCAGCTTCCAAGTCTTATTTCTCTCTATAGCATCAAGTTCTTCTTTCATGGCCTGTAACCAAACTTGCTGCTTAAGAACCTCTTCCATACTCACGGGTTCAGAGTCTACTAACATTATACACTGAATAACTTGTCCTTCAGAGTCTATTTCAGTGTCTTGCAACATGTCAAACTCTGCAAATCTTCTTGGGATGCTTCTGGCTCTTTGCTGCCTCTGAACTGGACCTTCAGAACTTTGGACACCAGAACTTTCCCCTTCAGAAGCACTTGCTTCCGAAATTGGACTTTCTCCAGAACCTTGACTATCTTCAGAGTCTGGATCACCATCGGAGTTAGAGTCAAAATCATCTTCTCCTTCGGTATCTTCTTCAGAGTCAGAGTCTTTACCAGCTTCAGAAACACGTGTTTCTGACTTTTCTTCAGGAGTTTTCTCATCAGAGTCAGGACAATACCTTTCCCAATTCCAAACTTCTGATTCCTTTACAATGACGTCTCTGCTGAACTCAACTGTGTTAGTTTCTGGACAATAAAGTTTGTACGAACCTGTACTGTAGTATCCCACCAGCAACATCACTTTACTTCTATCATCCAACTTTTGTGTTTTGACTTCTGAAACATGTTTGTAACATACAGAACCAAACACTTTCAGATGACTAACACTTTTCTTATCTCCAGTCCACTTCTGAATAGGAACTATTTCCTTCAATTTCTTCGTTGGACATCTGTTGAGCACATAACATGCAGTTGCAACAGCTTCTCCCTACAAAGTATGAGGAAGCTTCTTTTCTTTCAGCATGCTTCTCACCATATCAGCAAAGTACAGTTTCTTCTTTCAGCAAGACCATTGTGTTAAGGAGTATAGGGAGCAGTAACCTCGTGCTCAATTCCATTCTCCTTACATAATCTTCTGAATTTTGTGGAGTTATACTCACCACCACCATCAGTTCTAAGAATCTTCAGAGTCTGGCCACTCTGATTCTCAATCTTCACTCTAAACTTCTTGAATTCAGCAAAAACCTCGTGTTTAAACTTTATGAGAGATACCCATGTCATTCTGGTGAACTCATCAACAAATGACATAAAATATTTATTCCCTCCAATTGATGCTACTGGAAAAGGACCGCACACATCAGAATGCACTACTCCTAAGGCATGTTTTGCTCTTGGAGCTACTTCTGATCCAAATGGTAATCTTGGTTGCTTCCCTTCCATGCAAATCTTGGATGACTTTTCAGGCTTCTTGATTGTAGGAATTCCATGTACTCGATTCTTTAATTTCAGATGTCCTAAACTTCTGAAATTCAGTTGACCAAATCTTCTATGCCACAGCCCACTCTCCTTGACAACACTTGTTGCATTAAGACATTCAAAGTCTGCAGTTCTAACATTCACCTTAAATGTTCTGTTTTTTCCCTGTTCTGACTCCATAATCAGCTCCTAATTACAGTCATACAGCTTCAGAAGATTGTCCTTCATGGTAACTGAAAAACCTTTCTCAATCAGTTATCCCACACTCATCAGATTGTTTTTCATGCCAGGTACATACCATACATTTTGGATTAGCGTTGCTTTCCCATTGTTTAGAATGATTCTGACATTTCCCATACCTTCTGCATTGAGGTATTTATCATCAACACATCTGATCTTTGTACTCTTCCCAGAGTCAAAATCAACCAACCATTTTTTATTTCCAGTAAGATGGTTTAAACACCCTGTGTCCATATACTACCATTCTGATGCATTCAGATCATCAGGTTCAGAAGCCAACAATAGCACATGTTCATCATCTGACTCTCCTCTAGCTATATTTGCTTCTTCTGACTTCCTTTCTTTGTTTGACCAACAATCTTTGGCATAGTGACCAAAATTCTTACAACAGTAACACTGAACATTCTTCTTGTCAGACTTCTCCTTTACCTCCTGGACATTCTTCTGCCTATCAGAGTTTGAAGGTTCTGACCTTTGACCACCCTTAGTTTTCTTCCTAGCTTCTGACCAAGTATACTTCTGATACTTCTTACCAGAAGTTACTTTCAGAGCCTGTTTCTCTACTCCACTCTCAGAAGTTCTCGCATTCATACGCAACTCATGCGCCTCTAGACTACTTTGCAGCTCTTCAACTCTCATAGTACTCAGATCTTTGGAATGTTCTATTTCCATCACAATGTAATCAAACTGAGAAGTTAAAGATCTCAAGATCTTCTCAATGATTACTTGTTCAGAAAGAGTTTCTCCAGAAGCTTTCATCTCATTAGTGATCAGAATCACTCTAGAGATGTATTCATAAACCTTCTCGTTGTCCTTCATGTTGAGATTCTCATATTGCTTTCTGAGAGACTGAAGCTTCACCTTCTTCACTGAAGCGTCACCACCGTAACGTCTGACCAGTGTGTCCCACGCAGCCTTTGCTGTTTCAGAATCAACAATCTTCTCAAACACATTTGCATCCACACATTGATGGATGTAGAACAACGCATTCTGATCCTTCTTCCTTAGCGCCCTATGTGTTATCTTTTGTGCCTCTGTTGCGTCTGCTTCTAACAGATCATAGCCATCGGTGACAAGATCTAACACATCTTGAGAACCAAATAACACGCGCATCTGGATCTTCCAATGATTCCAGTTTTTGCCATAAAATACTGGAAGCTTGGAATGAACATCGTCGCCGTTTCCGTTCATCTTCTACCTTGTGCAATTTACGCAGAAATTCAGAATCAGAATCAGTGTTTTCCAAATCCCCAAAATTAGAAACAACGATTATCACACAACACCTCACTGTTCTCTCGTGTTTTCTTTTTTCCCGTGGATTTCGAACCGGAGCTCTAGATACCAATTGTTACAAAGAAGAGAGGAAAGACAAAAAAGAATATATTAAATGACGACTACAAAAATAAAGAATAATGATTTACAATGAATTACATTAACCTACCTCACTAGACTATTTATACACAAAATAAAATCATAAATATCCCCTAACAAAGATATAAAAAGATATAATAATATCTTCTAAAAAATATTCCTAAAATATAGATTAATATTCAAAAAATATTCCTAAAATATAAATTAAATCTAACAATATTTACCAAAATATTTTATAAAAATAAATAATAGAATCGTGAAATAAAAAAATTTATTAGTTAAACATACACAAT